TCTAAGTCACTACAATTCCTCACTGTATCCAACTCACTATGATCCCTCACTGTATCCAAGTCACTATGACCCCTCACTGCATCTAACTCACTGTATCCTCACTGTATCCAACTCACTATGATACTTCACTGTATCCAACTCACTATGATCCCTCACTGTATCCAACTCACTGTAATCCCTCACTGTATCTAAGTCACTACAATTCCTCACTGTATCCAACTCACTATGATCCCTCACTGTATCCAACTCACTATGATTCCTCACTGTATCTAACTCACTGTACTCCTTCACTGTATCCAACTCACTACGATACCTCACTGTATCCAACTCACTATGATCCCTCACTGTATCCAACTCACTGTAATCCCTCACTGTATCTAAGTCACTACAATTCCTCACTGTATCTAAGTCACTACAATTCCTCACTGTATCCAACTCACTATGATCCCTCACTGTATCTAACTCACTATGATCTCTCACTGTATCCTACTCACTATGTTCTCTCAATGTATCTAACTCACTATGATACCTCACTGTATCTAACTCACTATGATTCCTCATTGTATCTAACTCACTATGATCCCTCACTGTATCCAACTCACCATGATCCCTCACTGTACCCAACTCACTATGATCCCTCACTGTATCCAACTCACTATGATCCCTCACTGTATCTAACTCACTACGATCCCTCACTGTGTCCAACGCACTGTCAACCCCCACTCTATCCAACTTACTGTAATCCCTCACTGTAATCCCTCACTGTATCCAACTCACTGTAATCCCTCACTGTATTCAACTCATTGTAATCCGTCACTATATCCAACTCACTGTAATCCTTCACTGTATCCAACTCACTGTAGTCCCTCACTGTATCTAACTCACTGTAATTCCTCACTGTATCCAAATCACTGTAGTCTCTCACTGTTTCTAACTCACTGTGATTCCCCACTGTATCCAAATCAGTGTAGTCATTCGCCCTACCAAACTTGCCGGCAAACTTGCTGTTTCGTACACTGTACCACAAAGTACAGCGAGGAGTGTACAGTGATGTAAAATTGTGAATCATGGGCGAGTATAATATCAACTGCGCATGTCTGTCTAAAACATTGGAATAAATCGGCCCAGCATGAGCGAACGTAGTAAATCTGCCTTGCTCTATACAGGGACCAAGTCTAGTATGATCACAGCAAATCCGCAATCCTTTACTCAGAGATTTGGTCTGGCTTGAGCGATCCTAGCAAATCCCCGCTCAATTACGTGGCTATTTTGTTTAGTTTGATTACAGTTAAACCGTTTTTGTAAATATTACAAGTGTACATGAGTTCTGAATTATACTTACTCTTACCTAGTTGTCATAAAGTGTGTGAATGTGGTGATCGGAAGTTTTTATGTTCGAGAAAAAAATCATTGTCTTTAAATATGTGAACCGATTGCAAATGGCGTTAGAAGTGTTTTAAATTATCAGCATTATATAGATTTTATTTTGAAATGTTGATATTATTTTTGATTAGATCTGTCTAATTTCATTTCTTGATTAAAATTTTAGATGTAAGATGGAAAACTTTAATTGTGCGAGCAGGCACGGACCATGACGCCTTCACTAATCAGAAGTGCGGTGATAGAATTGACAACAACTTAAAAATCTTAAAAGAAATTTGGATGTCCTGTCCGCCAGTAAGACTAGCACGTTATGTCAGTGTTCACTTACAAGTTACAAACTTTCTCAATTTGGCGGAAATTATGGTATTCGGTATTGGTAAGTAGTTTATTATAACCAGTTGTCACATGACTCAGTTAGGTGAACGATAAGTGCAATCTGTAACTCAGGGTTCCAGGGTACCGGTAATGATCTTATAAGTGTCAATCTTGACAGTCAATGTAAATTAACAAACCCATTATCGTGATGAATCGTGTCTTAAAATTATTTGACTGAATAGATCGAATGCAAAATAATGTACAATTATCTAACCGGGAGTCAGAAAAGTATGGATACTTTGTCTCACGTAGGTGACGTCGATGTTCTATTCTACATACTCTCAATGACCTGAGTGAAATTCACGGGTATTAAACTGATCATAATAATAATAATATTATATCATGATTCCTAGATATGTGTCAACATCCGGGCATACCAGATAATGGCTACTTACTTTCTGCAAGTATCGGCGCCGCCGTTCATGCTGGACATAAACTACAATATGAATGTAATTCTGGATATGAATTGTCAGGAAACGATACAATAATCTGTACATCAGATGCCGTCTGGTCTGGGGAAATACCCATATGTTCAGGTAAAATATGAAAAACAAATCAATTCCAATAGAACTATGTGGGCTTTATTTGCCAAATTGTCGGTAGTTAAGGAGTATGATAATGATAAGTATTACATATCACATTCCTTCACGGCAAACAAATCAATTCCAATAGAACTATGTGGGCTTTATTTGCCAAATTGTCGGTAGTTAAGGAGTATGATAATAAGTATCACATATCACATTCCTTCACGGCAAACATATTACAAAATCAATTTGTCCTGTATTCTACAGGCAATTATATTACGCTTAATGTGACTTGATATATAGTAGATTATAATTGGTAATCGTTGTCACAAGTAACTATTAAAATATCTAGACGTTTCGAGTAATGACTCTTCCATATCATATAAGAAACAAATATGACTTGATATATAGTAGATTATAATTGGTAATCGTTGTCACAAGTAACTATTAAAATATCTAGACGTTTCGAGTAATGACTCTTCCATATCATATAAGAAACAAATATGACTTGATATATAGTAGATTATAATTGGTAATCGTTGTCACAAGTAACTATTAAAATATCTAGACGTTTCGAGTAATGACTCTTCCATATCATATAAGAAACAAATATGACTTGATATATAGTAGATTATAATTGGTAATCGTTGTCACAAGTAACTATTAAAATATCTAGACGTTTCGAGTAATGACTCTTCCATATCATATAAGAAACAAATATGGCTTCATTGGGTCAAGAGTCAGCACACAAGTGTGTGAACCTTTCATAATTTTACAGCAATTGTCCATACACATATAACGGGTTAACCAGCTCAATACAAATACAATATATTTGTATTGGCATAACGACGACCATTGTCATTACAATCCTCATCAACACTGTATAATCATATTTTATTTAGGAGTAGCAACGACATATGCAACTTTAGAAACTCCTAGCACTATGGTGACCACTGAGATTACTACGGATGTAATGCCAGTTTCCATTACTACCCAATCCGACGTAACAACAGATGTAACGTCAGCGCCTATTAATACACAGCCTGACGTAACCACGAATGTCTTCACAGCGTATGATACTACGAAACCAGGCATAACAACAGATTTGACATTAGCGCCCATTACTACACAGTCAGGCATAACAACGGATGTGACGTCAACGCCCATTACTACACAAACTGACGTAATAACGGATGTGACTTCAATGCCCATTACTACGGAACCAGGCACAGCAACAGATTCGACATTAGCGCCCATTACTACACAGCCTGACATATCAACATATGTGACTTCAGCGCCCATTACTACGCAACCAGGCATAACAACGGATGTGACGTCAACGCCCATTACTACACAGCCAGACGTATCAACAGATTTGACTTCAGCGCCAATTTCTACGCAACCAGACATAACAACAGATGTAGCGTCAGCGCCTATTACTACACAGCCTGATGTAACCACGAATGTCTTCACAGCGTATGATACTACGAAACCAGGCATAACAACAGATTTGACATTAGCGCCCATTACTACACAGACTGACGTAATAACGGATGTGACGTCAACGTCCATCACTACACAGCCTGACGTAATAACAGATGTAAACTCTGCGCCCATTACTACGCTACCAGACGTAACAGCGGACATCACAACAGTTCCAGGTTTTGTTTCTACCACTTCACAAATCAACACAAATGTTTTTACACCACCAGCAAGCAGTGTTCAATCCACCAATGACCAAGGCAAAGCCATTGATCGCAACAATCAATATGGCTCACAAATAGATGAACTTTCGTTGCTGTCTCTACTTGTCTTGGTTCCTGTCCTGATATTTATTATATTGTACATAGCTCAATGGAGATTCGGAAAACGTATTTTTACTAAGGTTATCCCCAGAAAATCTGTGACGGTGTCTGAGATGAAAAAAGATTTAAAAATCGCTTGGAAATGATATACTAATACGGAAATGTGACATGTATGTGAAAACGCACACAGAGTTCTGCATACAGATTTCAGAATGAGTATGCAGCCGATACGGTATATACTGGGTCATTTTTTTTTATGAATGACAATATATATATATTAAAACGTACGTAAGACTTACGGTGACAACATTTATATTGTTTGATATTGTTGCCAATTTGTTGAAGCTAGAGTTATAAATAATGTGTAATATAGTACATTTAATAAATGTCTTAAAGAACTTTCCAGATAACATTTTGGAAATTGTTTTTTACGGGTGAATATATCTGTATGAATATAAAAGCATGGAACAATAAGATGAAAAATAACGTATGAAGTGAATCCAAGATCAAATACTGTTAAGCTAATCTAATAACAACTTGCCACATTATCATGTATATAATCCTGACACAGCAAACTCATTAACTTCAATTTATGAATATTTATATAAATAAAACAAACTAAAAGAAGAGATTTCCATTGGCATATTGAATGACATTGAAGCGTTTTTAATTTCGTTGATTGACTGAATGGACTCAACGGCCATTCAAATTTATAACAATCCATTAGGATAAAGGGAACCGAGTTTTTGTTTCGGGAGTAAAGTTAATTTAATAAAAGCTTCATTTTCTTGTTCTATAATATATTTATAAATATTTTATAAATTTAAATCAAGGTTGAAGCCTACTTGGCCAATCACAACTGTTTAACAGATACATGATAGTAAATGATTAAAGGAAGTCCACACAGATTCGCGAGTAATGGGTACAATGAAATAACCAATGAAAGCGTAATTCTCGGATTTGGTCTTCCAGGGTAAATGTTTTAAAGATATTTTATAAACTTTCATAAAATCATTCATACTGTCATGAAATTCACTGTATATGCTGCAATCAACATTTTGTAAACCCATGAACATATATTTATCAAGTATTTATAAACACAGATTATTCATTTTAAATCATTGTCATCAAAATCCCAACGAGACATTCATTATTCATAACCGTCCACGAATCAATCAGAAAGAAATTATAACAACCAAACTCACTACACACACCCATACAATGCGAATGTGCCGTTTAAATATTTTCCTTTACAACTCATATATGTATAGTGTAATGTAGAACTATGAATTTTGCGATATGACAGAGAAAGAATATACTATGCATTACTTAGGCTGGAGAGTCAAATATATCAAGATTTCTATACAGTCAATTGTGCTCTCCAGTTAATCATATTATTTCACGTAATGTGAATGGAATTCTAAGCGATACACATCATTGAATCTGTGCCCCAGAACCACTGAGAGCTTCGGCCTTACATTTAGATATTTAGTCAATCACAAAATCAAAAATAAATTGAACGACATTTCAAGTAACAATAATACATATACATACATATCGTATAACAAAATGATAATAATTGCAATGAAAATAATCTGATGTGGGACACGAAAATAGTTTCTTCAAACCAGTCCAGTCCGTGCCTCTTATGCATAAACAAACAGACAGAAAATATAAACTGATGCTGATATACAAAAGTCATATATATGCAATTTTCAAATAAAAAAAAAATTTGATTTAATAACTGAAATTATCTGACCCGAAATAGATGGAAATAATAAATGAATGACAGAAAGAATATATAGACTACATATTCAAGGTTTTTATGGGCAAAAACGACAAAAAAATTTGCAAGTCAAAATGACATTTTCTCCAAGTCAACCATCAATTCTGACAAAACGGATTACATTGTGAATAAAACAGTTCCAGGCTAGCGAACCAGCTACTAGTTTGAGAGCGGGTTTATGGTAACGGTGACAATCTTTCGACAAACATGGAGACGCAATTTCAATAAACCAACGGATGAACGATGGAAGAACACGTCATGTTAGCTACTCGTGTCTCCTTGTTCAGGATATTGACTTTCATTGACCCACAGCAAATACAATAGTCGACAGGGTTTTGAATTAGGCAGTACAACTAAGTCAACATTTCAATAACGTTATTATTCACAAAATATTGAAGTGGTATGTTATTTTAGTTGAAGGATATGTTAACACAAATTCTACGCCAGTACCAAACCCTTTTGAAGTGTGTGTGTAAACACGGGGAAACTACTGCCATCTTGAACATACAAGGTGTGGAACCTTACAACAATCAGGTGGGCAAATATTAAATGTTCAACTATTATACACATATGGACAAAAATCATCAGCAAAACCAAGGAATCAAAAAAAAAGAGAGAGAAAATGAGTGATTTTTTATGACTTTTTATCCATCTCAACGCATTGCAGTCTTTCTTGTGTGTTGTATTTGGGTCTATATGACTGGTAAGTGAGAAAGTTATTTATCCATTTGTCCAGAGGGCACTTGTTATATGCATCATAACTTGCATTTCACACAAATAGAGTAAGGCGTTATCAAATCACTGCAGCTCGCACGTGAGGCGTTATCAAATCACTGCAGCTCGCACGTGAGGCGTTATCAAATCACTGCAGCTCGCACGTGAGGCGTTATCAAATCACTGCAGCTCGCACGTGAGGCGTTATCAAATCACTGCAGCTCGCACGTGAGGCGTTATCAAATCACTGCAGCTCGCACGTGAGGCGTTATCAAATCACTGCAGCTCGCACGTGAGGCGTTATCAAATCACTGCAGCTCGCACGTGAGGCGTTATCAAATCACTGCAGCTCGCACGTGAGGCGTTATCAAATCACTGCAGCTCGCACGTGAGGCGTTATCAAATCACTGCAGCTCGCACGTGAGGCGTTATCAAGTCACTGCAGCTCGCACGTGAGGCGTTATCAAATCACTGCAGCTCGCACGTGAGGCGTTATCAAATCACTGCAGCTCGCACGTGAGGCGTTATCAAATCACTGCAGCTCGCACGTGAGGCGTTATCAAATCACTGCAGCTCGCACGTGAGGCGTTATCAAATCACTGCAGCTCGCACGTGAGGCGTTATCAAATCACTGCAGCTCGCACGTGAGGCGTTATCAAATCACTGCAGCTCGCACGTGAGGCGTTATCAAATCACTGCAGCTCGCACGTGAGGCGTTATCAAATCACTGCAGCTCGCACGTGAGGCGTTATCAAATCACTGCAGCTCGCACGTGAGGCGTTATCAAATCACTGCAGCTCGCACGAGGTTTTCTGATCAACGATATGAATTATGTCTCATTTCCAATCGCACGTCAGGGTATACTTTTTTCTAATATTTACTTTAGGTTCATTTTATCTGAATGAACAGAATAAGTGTATATATGTAACATTTTCACCATATTAAAGCGCGGTGGTCGTCGCGCAGCGCGTGTTCGAATTACATGTAAATAAACAATGTATTTTACACGCATTGTATACGTCGCTATAAGTCCCATATCGAACAGGACGCGGCACGACGACTGCCGCCCTTTAAAAGTCAATATTCGTACCATGTAATGTTCTCAAAGCAGGAATGTACCAGGGTTACCAAGGTAATGTTTGGAAAACGAAGTATTATGCAAATTAGCTTCTTTCATGTTACTCGCCCTTTGCACCTTGACTTTTGAACAACTTGATTTTACATGAATAATAGCAGCTTACCGCATTCAAATACATTTCTGACTGTTCTATGAGACTGTCGTATCCCGTTCATCGACCCAGATGTCCAGCTTTCATACCCCGTCATATAATGAAACCGAAACCAATGCTAACCAAAACAATTAGGCAGTCTTTCAGCAACATACGCTGTTTGGTTGTGAAAATTTTGCTAAATAATCAAATACATGTAAATGCGAACACAATGGAGCTGTGCTGTCACAATTGTAAGAGTTTCGGGAAATAATTAATTATTAATGAATATCATCTAGCAAAACATGAAACATTGAACATCTTTATTCTAACCAAATCCGTTTGCTCTAACACTCTTTTTACTAGTTTTTTTCATCAAGCCTAATTACGATAGAATGCATTTAATTATTAGTAAAACACATCTACGGAAGTAGATTATGTGCATTTATTGACTGTTGACACAAAATAACGAACCAATTATTGTTCAGGTGTTATTGCCTGGAATGAATTTGTCAACGAAAACTCAGAGACCTATTTAAAAAAGAAAAAAAAAACAACCGTTCCTTTTTATGGAACACGCACCAAATCACATGGTATTCATAGCAAACGAGCCACTTCGTTGGCAGCTATACCTTGATAGCGCCACCAAGTGACACTGCCTACAAAAATTATATTAGATATACGGTAAATATTGCATGGAATGTGTATTCCGTGGTGCGCGAGAACATGTGTATACTACATTCACTGACGTCACTGTACGTGTATACTACATTCACTGACGTCACTGTACGTGTATACTACATTCACTGACGTCACTGTACGTGTATACTACATTCACTGACGACACGTCACTGTTACTGTTCTATTTGAAACAATCTAAAGTTGATGACAAATTAGAAGTAATTCTAATTTAATGGCAAGAAGATGGGAAACCCTACATTTTATGTTTTAAATGTTTACTAGAAGTGAATGACGTTTTCCACAGTGCAATGACATCAACAACCAGTCAAGAGAAACTCTAGACAAATACATATTTCAGCAAATTGAAAAAAAATGTACGGTTTACTTGTACATGACCAAATATCAACCACCCTGATCACTAATTACAATTATATTTTTAAATACCGTATTTTCTCTATTAAAAGCACGTGCATTTAAATGTGAATGACAACGGCATGTCAAAATAAGACATATTGTAATAATTTTGCATGCCCTATTAACATTTTAAGGGGAAACATGCCCCGGTGCAAGGTTGATGAGCAAATCTCACCACATGCCAAATTTCATGCCACCGCTTCTGAGGTTGTTATTTCGCAGTTTGGCCTTTTTTGGCCTTTTTTGGCAAAAATGAAAAATGGTGGCGAAACCACGTTAATGATCAAATTCATTTAATTGTTCTCGTAAAAACATACTACATCGAAAATAACAAATTTCTTAG